CACATTCTTATGAGGGAGATGAACTCGACGAGTTCAAGGTCGAACTCGGCGAGTCGTATGAAGATGGCCCCGATGGTATGATTGAAGAAGAACCCGTCGATTTCTTGCTAGACTCGACGAGTAGAGACGAGGATTGGTTTGGGTCAGAGAAGTATGGACTCGACGAGGTGGTATACCAACTCGGCGAGTCAAGTCAACTGGATGTTGACTTTGACCAAAGTTGACTTTGACATGATTTGAGTTGACCCTGGTTAGGGTTGCCAGTACAAGTTGATGACTTGGATGGGGTTGTCATGTAGGGATTGAGGAGTCGAGGAGAGTCGGTTTTCACGTCGAGGACAGTTCGGACACTACACGACTTTGAGGTGAGTCTTCTCCTAGTAGGGGTGGGTCTACGGCCACAATGCCGGCCCATAAGTAAGAGTACTGGTTAGATGATTGTCTTTGTGATAATTATGTGGGATTTGATATGTGTTATGCTTACTGTGCTTGATATGGTTATGATTGTTATGCTTATTGTGCTTATTATGTGCTAGCAGTAGGAGGGGTGAAATAGTCCCTGGCTACCGGTTGAAAGATACCGATGATCATGTATTATTTTGGTATGAGTATGATGGGGGAACTCACTAAGCTTCGTGCTTACAGTTTTGGTTTTGGTTTTAGGTACCTCTTCGTCTAAGGGGAAGGAGCCGGCGGTGTAGCAGCGCATCACACACACATGGTTTCCGCATCGAGTTTCTGGGATTGTACTCTAATTTTCATTACTTTTGATGATATGGTTTTGGGACACGACATTATGGTTTTTATAAGTTGATGTAATACTGACAATGTTTTGGTGAACTGTTTTATGAATTACTTAATTCAAAATGAAAATTTTTTGCTTCGAAATTTGGGATGTTACAAGTTGGTATCAAAGCCTTGGTTTGAGGGATTCGGACACACCCTCGGGGGTGTCTGGACTCGAACCGAGGGATTAAAAGATTTTTCACAAAGAAAACAGTTTTCTAAAATTTAAGTTAAAGAAGTTTGAGAAAGAACAAGGTGTGTGATGCATGCGACCGGCCGAGCTCAAGTAAGTTTTCCCCAAGATACCCATACTTGTTATGTTATGTTATATGATTTATGATTCGGAGAACTGCATGCTATATTAGGGCTAAGGATCTAGGAGGATGCCTTGTATGCCTGATATATGATTCTGAGAACTGCATGCTAGAATAGGGCTAAGGATCTAGGAAGGTGTTGGAGATCGTGTCTAAGTCCATAACTATATTTGGTATGTACTTGACCCGACCCGGCATGGTCCATTT